CACAGTTAAACACACATAGTCACATACAGATGCGCACAGTCACACACAGATACAGACATAGAAACACAATCTCATGCACACTCACATACAGGTTTGTAATTATATCTTTGTGGGGACTCTCCATTCATTTCTATGGGGAAAACTCTAATCACAACATGACTACCTTAACTCCTACCCAGCCCTTACCTTAACCATAAGTAACCAAGCAAAATATGAGACTTTTGGCATTTTTACTTTTTCTTATTGCATTCACAGATCTTTGTGGGGACCTGAAAAAGGACATTTGGCCCCCACAATGTAATACAAACCTACCCTGTAATACACCCGGATATACACACACAGTCACACACACAAAATCCCACATAGAGATGCACAGACACAGTGACACACACAGAGACACAAAGTCACACACAGATAGTCACAGACACACAGGCCTGTTGCCCCCTTATCTCTCCCTTATTAGGACCCTGAGGTTGGTGCATGTGCTGCATGTTACAGCTCCCAGCAACGGCCGTCTGCCTGCAACCTCCGGGCGACACGTTTCCCTGGCAACACAGAGCCCCCCGGTGACACTCGGCCTTGGTGTGCACCCCACTATTCAGCCTCGCACAGCACGCAGCAGGAGCTTGTGACACAGAATGACACAGTCGCGTGCTGCTAAAAGCCAAAGCTCCCAAGCCCTCGCGGTCTCCCCCCCACCAGGTCGACTCGGCAGGAGGGGCACCAGGGTTCTGGCCACACCGGGAGAAGCCAAATTCTGAGGCAGGGCAGCCTTTCGCCTGCTTGAGCTGCTGAAATCGAGCTGTATACTTCAGCCTGCGGCTCCCAGAGAGGGAAAATGAAGGTCTTCCTGAATACAGAATATGTCACATGTCCTTAGCAAAGATGCATCTGTGACTGACTCAAAGAGGGAGGAAACCACGAGGAACACGGCAGGACTGCCACACTCGCCCTGGACGGACGTCGCTGCACATGCCTCCCTCTCTACAGCGACGTATTTTTGGCTGTATCCCTTCACCATAATCACCCAGATTTAGTTGCTGTCATGAAGTCTTCATTTTGGCTGACCACAGCACCACCCAGCCCATCAGCTATCTGAGACAGGAAGTGGGGGTGTTGATGAGCTGCCCATGTGCGATGAGTGTGCGCTTGTCTGTGTGCCTTGTGATGGACTGGCGTGTCCCCCCCCCCCTCGTGTCTTGAGCTTCCTGGAATGGGCTTCATGCTCCCTGCATCCTGGATGGGAGGCAAAAAACTAGCATAGCTGTGGATGTTGCATTAAGGGTGGGAGTGGGGGAGGGGTATAGCCCACTTGTGCACCCTACAACTGCAAGCACACCTAATTAGCATGGAAGAACACGTGATGTTTTCTGAAATCTCCACTTCCACCTGTGACTATCCCAGCTCACCAAGTGTCCCGGCACAAGCGCGAATATGGACTCTTCTCCCCCACCCAGATTAAACTCATCTATTTGAAGATTATTCTATATGTAAAAATTATTCTTATCACTTCTACATGGATGTAATTGTCTGTGCTGTGAGTGTGTTCCATGGATGTTCTTGTGTTTGTATGTGAGAGTGTGGTTTACAAACTTGCAGTCCTATGCAAACCCAGCCTGTGTGTGTGTGTGTGTGCGTGTGTGAGTGTGCGTGTGTCTGTGTGGGTTTGTATTTACCAAATGTCTCCACAATGTGATAAAAACGTGTTATAATGACATTGTGGGATCCACCTTCTCAGTGCCCACAGGGGTAAACTCAATTTTTTATAAAAATCTGTAACTGCAATCAAAAAACTAAAAATGCCAAAAGTCTTGTATTTTGTTTGTTTACTGGTTAAGGTTAGAAGTGGGTAGAGGTTAAGGTTGGGTTGGGATTAGGGTTTTTCCCACAGAAATGAAAGGATGGTCCCCACAATGATATGAATACAAACATGTATGTGTGTGTGTGTGTGTTCCTGTCTGCATGCACGTGGTCATGTGTGGTTTGTGCATGTGCCCTTCAGTCAGACTGTGTGCACTGACTGACATTTGCATGTACATAGTCCCCCTGCTTGAGTGTGAGATTTCTGTGTTTGTCTGACAAGCACAAAATCTCTCCTTTGAACCCTAGTGCACCCCAAGGATTGTGGACACTCTCCCTCTCCTACCCTCCGCTCTGGTGCACTGCTGCCATAGCAACAGCAGACGGAGCTGGCACGTCCCAGTGAGGTTCTGCACCATAGGATAGGTCCTGTGAGGGTGAGTAGAGAATAACTCGCCACTAAAAGCGACCATGTGACCTGACACCTGCTCCTAGCCTGGATGGCCCCATTGAGAGTGATGCTCTGATGCTTGCCAGCCTGGGACTGTATGGCTGTTGGGGGTGGGGGACATTTAGCCCCAATTATGTCCATTTTTGCATCTCCACTAGTGCTGTGCAGGCATTGAGTATCAAGATGTCAGGAATGGTACACTAGCTTGAATGTCATTTCTAAAGAAGAACAAAGCCAGAAAAAAAACATGGACAATGCAGAAGAAGGCGGATGCGATTTGTTTTACCATTGACATCAGATGCCTGTTTCAAAACACTACTTGTTCGTATGATCTGTCCTAATAACACAGTGAAGAGTCAAAATCCTGACAAATAAGAGAGCAAACTATTTTATGCAAGACAATCCAAAAATGCCTAAGAGATTTGCACATCTAATCGGATGCAAACTGATGCTAACCTATGCTAAATGGATGCTAAACTGATCCTAACCTGATGCTAGCCAGTGTTCCCCCGCATTCACACAAAAATGTTCGGTTTTTCCATCACAAACTATGTAGCACAGCTGGCTGTAAAGCATCATGGGCTGGACGCTGCAACAATGACGGAGATTTCCATGCTGTCCCACTGGAGAAATACCTGTAAAACAAATTGGTCTTGTATAGTATATACTGTGTTTCAGTTTTACAGTATTCACAGCAAACTGCTGTACTAAAAATATATTTTAATGAAACAACATTGTTACATATAGTCATCCACAGTGGTATGATAACATACTGTTTAACCAAACATGATGGCACATTAGAAGGTAGTCTGGTATGGAGCAAGACCAAACCCTTTACCGTCCATTATACTTTGTCCCACGAAAGTAATGGACACACAAATCTTCACAGTATGACTTGTTGTGGCCAGAGGATGGATACATGGCAGATGAGGGCTTTTCTCCCAGGCCACACAGAACACAACTCAGGCTACTTTACAGTAAAGTGGAATTTTTGATGTAAGCTAATGTGCCCAAATGGTTCATCTGTAAAAAATGCCAAACGGAGTGAGTCCAGGTTTGGTCTCAGTGATGGCTGTTGCTACCTCCCACACGGCTTTAGTCTCACCTGATTTTTGTAGCCTTGCCTGAAAATGGTCTCAGTCTCAGTTAAAAGAAAATCAGAAGCAGTCTAAACTAAACGCAGCCTCATTTGAAGGGTAGATACAGTGTGTCAGATACAGTTTTTGTCAAATTGTGCTTTTCCACTGCCATACAGGAACCAGGCCACGCCTGACCCGTACCACAGCAAGACACAGCCATACCGGGAAAGTTTAAGCGTGATTCCAGCTTGCTTCGATTTTCCACTGCAGAAAGGTCGGCAACAGTAACGTAAAACCGACGAGATGTTTGTTTACTGTTCACCTGTATACATTACAATTTACTATGTGCTAATTTCCACTAGCATGTCTGTGAGAATCGTTATGTTATATTAGCATCAAACACTATCGGAATTAGCATTAGCTTGTGTAAATTTACATTACAAATCCATTCTATTCAGCCATTATATAATACTTTTTCAAGTATTAGGAGATTGGAAATTTTAAGGTTCCAAGTTATCAGAAATGTATCAATGTATTGTAATTTGCAATACAACTAATAATGAATATGCCCTTCCTTCAAATAACCCATGCCTATTGACCAATCAGATGGTGGTGACACAGCCAGCTCAGTTTAACCATGCTTTTGGGACTGTTAGTCTGGGGATGGGTTGGGTACGGCTCACATAGTTTACTATAAAAAACCAGTCTGTTCATGGTTCAACTCGGGTACGACTTAGTTCTTCGTAGCAGTGGAAAAGCACCAAAAATCAGTCTTTGTCAAAGTGATTCTTCTCTGAGCTCAGTCTCGGTTGTATACAGTCTATGTCAAACACAGCCTCCCCCCTGTGGCCTCTGTCATCCAGCTGTATGAGCTGATCGCTGGCTGTGCTGATGGACTCCCTGAAGAAGCTCCAACCAGGTCAAATCAATAAGGGTGTGGAGGCCCAGCCAGCGGTGCCCAAAATGAGGACACCACCAGGTGCCAGAACCTTCTGGAGTGTCACTGCTTCCTGGAGCCAGATAGTCTGCCGTTATCGTGGGGGAGATTCAGAATTAACAGAAACAGACAAAGGGCACAATGTACAGACAGAAGAGACTGAATAGAATAGCGACACTCTTAGTCCCCATGAGTAAATACTCTTTTTGTCTACCTAAATTTGCCCTCCGTGAGATACACATACAGGTGAAATGGGGGGAGGGAGAGGGTCACAGTGCAGGATCAGCTGGCATGCAGTGTCCCTGGAGCTGGGGGTTAAGGGCCTTGTTCAAGGGCCCACAGACATGTCACTATTCTGCCAAGATTGGGGCTTTGACTGGCAACTGACCGAAGGCACAGAGGCTTAATCCACCGAGCAACACAGCACCCCCAAGGTCTTCAGGGGATTCAGTCAGGTAGTAACAGCAGCCGCATTATGGAATTGTGTCAAGTGTAATTATGCCCCTGTGCCCTGAAAGTCTGAGGTGGGACAGTATGTGTATGTATACATACATATATACATACATACATACACGCGCACACACACACACACACACACACACACGTATGTATATATATATAAATATATAAATATATATATGTGTGTGTGTGTGTGTGTGTGTATAAACAATGGGCTATGCAAATATCTGTTCAACAATTTTTACATTTATTAATTTTGGAAATTGCCATATAGACTTTTTAAGGTAAAATTACAGCCAATGCAACTGAGCTTCCTACAACATAAACTCCAACGGACAATGCAGTAACAGTCGTGAAAAAATGGCTTTAATATTCTCAGACTAAATTACAATACACCAACATGCACCGTCTCCTTCACCATAGCGCTTTGCTGTGGGAGAGTAGAGGGAGAAAAGAGATGAACTGAGATGGGACAGTTTTTAAAATGAACATAGTTATCCAAGTAGAAGCACTGAAACTGTACATAACATTGTCCTTCACATAAACGATTATCTGCATTCGGGTGCCATAAAAAAATAACAGCAGCTTTTAGAAAAGGCGTTAGGAAGTGGACGACGATCAATCATGTAGTAAAATGGTCTACTTGGTGGAATATGTGTGATTCTATTTGTAAGTGAACATTACTGTCTTTCTATACGGAGATTCATGGGGTTCATTAGAGACACGGCTGTACTGGCAAGAACACACAAGTGACTCATATTATAGAAAACACAATAGTGTGTGTGCGTCTGTATGTGCGTGCGTGTTTGTCTGTCTGTCTGTGTGTATGACTGATTGACTGGCTATCGGTGTTTGTGAATCAATGTCTGTTAAAATCGCCAGCAGCACAAGTTAATTTGAGGAAGGAACAAAAGGAGACTCTGTAAAACGCGTGTTTCCGTTTTTTTTTCATTCAGCTGCCTTTCGGCTTGTCCCAAACACGGATTGTCCTTTCGTATTGTATTATTCCCCCGTTTTATTTTACTAAAGAGTCTTGATTATTTAATTTCGCATATTACGTTCCCATGTGAACAAATATATTGTATTTTATATCTAACAACATTATTTCGCAGTTGAAAAATATCCTGTGAACGCTGACAGGGGCGCGGCGTTACAAAAGTCACATTAAAGGCGGCCGTCATTTGCCTTTTGTTGTTTGCAAAAGGCTGCGTTTAATATTTCGTTGCGGAGACCCTTTGCGCACAGGTGGGGGACCCGCCCGGTGGGACGGCCCCCTCTCCCGGCCCCTCGGCGGAGGATGCGAGCGGCTGACATTTGCTGCTGCGGTTCGGGACGGGAGGTGCAGCGTCTCTGCAAACAGGTGTGATCCAGCGCAGACAAGCCGGGTCCCCGGTCCGACAGCAGACTCGTTCCGTGCTTCTCCGCGCAGCGGGACCAGGACATCTGCCTCCTACACGCCTTTTCAGTTTTCACATTATATTACTGCCGTCGCCGGCCAGCTCGTTGGAGAAAAGAAAAGAAGCGAAGCCATGACAAGTAAAAAATGTGCGGATATAACAAAACGGAGCCGGAGCCCCGTGGTGCTGGATGCGGAGATGTTCGGCGGGTTTCAGGACTGGTGTCTTCGGACCTACGGGGATTCGGGCAAGACGAAGACGGTGACCCGGCGAAAATACAACAAAATCATGCAGACGTTGCTGCAGGGCGACGAGCCGGACGGCGTGTACGTGGAGAGCAGTACCATTAACGCCAAATTCAAATTCTGGGTGAAATCTAAAGGCTTCCAGGTCGGCAGTAGCGTGCTGAGCGGGCACAGCCAAAAAGGGGGCTCCGGGAAGCCCGTCCTCTACGTCCCGGTCAAGTCCACGGTGAGCCTCGCCTTATTCTGCCGAACCGGGGGGCTATGGGGCGGCGTGGGCTGTGCCCGGAGTGTGTGCCCGTCCACCCCGGGACCCACTGTACCTGCCTCGCCGCCCCCCGCTGTCTCTCTCGTCGATCTGTCACATGTATTTGATCGCAACTCTCCTGGTGCCGTAGCGACCGGGAAAGTGCGGCTCGGTCCGGAACCGCGGCCAGAACCGGGCTGAATGGCTGCCATGGCAACGCCAGTGCCCCTTAACAATACTGACGGGACGGGACTGGCGTCGCGGTGAAGCTTTTCTCCAGAACTGTCCATCCCCGTAAACGGGGCGGTATATATAGCCTGTGTCCTGGCATTATATATTCTTTTTCGGGGGTTCATTCGGACGCCATCGTCGTCCCGGGTGCGTGTGGCGGCTCCCAGTGCCAGCGCTGTGCCCGGCTACCGGCGTGGGGGCGGCGGCGGCGGCGGGGGGGCGGGGGGAGGTGTCGTCGCCGGTTCTCCACAGTGAAGTGGTGGTCATGCAGCGGGACGTTTTAGCCTTAAATGTCACGTTGGGCAGTTTGGCCCCGACATGCCGAGACGGTCCGTATGCAGGCGGCACCGGGACGTTTTCGCCGTGAATGTCACATTAGAGAGACAGCCTGGCCCCGACCGAGCCGGTCTGTATCTAGGCGACACCGGGACCACACGGCACATCGAAGAAAGGCATCTTAAAAAAAAAAAAAAAACACACGACATTTATCTCAATAATATCTCCTTTTTCACCAGTGCCACATATGTAGTTGTGCAATGCATTTATCTTTTTAACCGAAAGCCGCCCGCCATATGTGCCTCGACTGACTCGTATACTGGACACCCCCCAGACCGGACCGGGTTCTGTCTTTGCGATTCATTGCTACAGTATGACAGCTAGGCCTGTGTTAAGATATTATTTAACCATATGATTTTAACCATCAGCGTCTGTGAAAACAGAACGGAACGGAAACAAATTAACTAATAGACAGGGGACAGCGCGCATTTGTGGGGTGGTGGGTGACTGGGATGGGGCTCGGTCCGTATCTGCCCGCCAGTGCAAAATCATTCAGTGACTTAATGTGACATTGGACATTGTGAGAGAAGTTGATACAAAACCTTAGGTCTTGACCGGACGCTGTTGTCCTCCCGCCAATGGCAATGTGCCGCTGGGATCAGGGTTGAGCGGTCCCTTATTCTTTGTGTAAAAGTGAAACCCATTGGAGCGCCCCCCCACCCCCCGAAAAAAAAACATATATTTTATTGCTAAGCCAATCTGAGTGATAAACTTGTTAACCTTAATTTACGAGCCTGAATAGATCATTATTATTACTATTATTAATAACAACAACAAAAATAATAATTGTTATTATCTGTGAGGCATAATTTATTATCTGTGGGCTAGCAAGCTTGTTAAGAGTGCTGTCTAAGAGCATGGGGAAGTGTGAGGTAACCAGAATGCTAGTTAAGAGCGGGGGTAAGAAGTAGGTAGCCAGAGTACTGGTTAAGAGCGTGGGGAAGTGTGAGGTGAGGTAACCAGAGCAATGGTTAAGAGCATGGATGAAGTGTGAGGTAACCAGAATGCTGGTTGAGAGCAAGGGGGAAGTATGAGGTAGAAAGCTGGTTAAGAGTGTCAGAATGTGTGAGGTAACCAGAATGCTCGTTAAGAGCGGGGGGAAGTGTGAGGTTATCAGAGCACTGGTTTAGAGTGTGGGGAAGTATGAGGTAACCAAAGTGCTGGTTATGAGTGTGGGGAAGTGTGAGGTCACCAAAGCGCTGGTTGAGAGTGTGAGGAAGTGTGTGGTTAACAGAGCGCTGGTTAACAACATGGGGAAGTGTGATGTAACAAGAGCACTGGTTAAGAAAGTGGGGAAGTGTGAGGTAACCAGAATGCTGGTTGAGCATGGGTGAAGTATGAGGTAGAATGCTGGTTAAGAGTGTCGGGATGTGTGAGGTAACCAGAATGCAAGTTCAGAGAGGGGGGAAATGTGAGGTCATCAGAGCCCTGGTTTAGAGTGTGGGGAAGTGTGAGGTGAGATATCCACAGCGCTGGTTATGAGCATGGATGAAGTGTGAGATAACCAGAGTGCTGATTAAGAATGTGGGGTAGTGTGAGGTGACCAAAATACTAGTTAAGAGTATGGGGAAGTATGAAGTGAGGTAACCAGAGCAGTGGTTGGGAGCATGGATGAAGTGTGAGGTAACCAGAATGCTGCTTGAGAGCAAGGGGGAAGTATGAGGTAGAAAGCTGGTTAAGAGTGCCGGGAGGTGTAAGGTAACCAGAATGCTAGTTAAGAGCGGGGGGAAGTGTGAGGTTATCAGAGCACTGGTTTAGAGTGTGGGGAAGTGTGAGGTAACCAGAGTGCTGGTTAAGAATATGGGGTAGTGTGAGGTGACCAAAAAGCTAGTTAGTAACCAGAGCAGTGGTTGGGAGCATGGATGAAGTGTGAGGTAGCCAGAGTGCTGGTTAATAGTGTGGGGAAATGTGAGGTAACCAGAACACTAGTTAATAGCATGGGAAAATGTGAGGTTATCAGAACACTGGTTCAGAACGTGGGGAAGTGTAAGGTGAGGTGACCAGAGCACTGGTTGAGAGCATGGATGAAGTGTGAGGTAACCAGAGTGATAGTTAAGAATGTGGGGTAGTGTGAGGTGGCCAAAATACTAGTTAAGAGCATGGGGAAGTGTGAGGTAACCAAAATGCTGGTTAAGAACATGGGGAAGTGGAACTGTATTACTGATGAATGCTTTGGTAATAAACACACAATTTACAGATATAACAACATGATGTTTTATATTAAAGGAAATGGTCACAGAGTGAAGTAGTGCTTTAAGAGAAAAAAATATTAAGTTAAAAGTTGCTTTTTTAAAACATAAACTCCAAAGTTCATTTCATTGTTACCAAAGGGCCAAGTGAGAGCGAGAGTAGTTATGGACCAGACGGTTAGATGACATCCAGTGCAGAATCGTCCCCAACCCACATTGTTATGATGACAACAGCCTCACGTTAGCTCACCATTCTAATCAGCCTTTATCTCCCTCACACACACACACACACACACACACACACACATGCACCAATAGGGTTGGGTACCATTTAGACTTTATTGATTCCAAACTTGATTCCAATTCTGCTCATCAAACCTGTTTCTTATTGATTCGTGATTCTGAATATTATACGGTAAAAATGTCAAAAAGCATCAATGACAAAACACTTATAAAACACATTTATTCTGTTTAAAGAGTTCAACTTTACTTGAAGCAGTTATGTCATTCCCATATTTTGTCAAAACAAAAACCGGGTGTTTCAAGATGAAATAAATAAGGTTAACAACCACACTCTGAATCTTAGATGTCAGTTGGCCACTGATGTCAGTAATACTTTAAGTTTCTGTTTAATCTGACTAAACTGGATGGTATGCAGGTCTGGTTTAAATTATCAGTAAATGATAAATAAGTCTGGCTTTATGCATAATGCAGCTTATTACCAGAAGGTACATAAAGCTTAATTAACTAAACAATGGCGGAATGAATATATGTACATTCCCGCGCAAGCCATGTGTTTAAAAACGTGTAATGGCCACTTAAACCATGGCTATTGCACATTTGGCTTACATTTTTGTACATAAAGACTGGCTTTTCAGCTTAGCAACAGGTAATATCCAAACTAACGACTGGTTTACTCTCTTAGCAACAGAGTATTTTTGAATTAAATATGTTGGCTTGGGTGATGTATAACTAAAATATTTAATAGTAGTTGACGATATCTAATTTTTGACACTGCCCAGACATTTCAGTCAGGTATATGGTATTTCGACTGCATTTTAAAAAGTAACACTATTCTGATATTTTTAAATCCCCCAAGATACAGTTTTGCCAAAAGGAAATACTGCGGTATGCTGTTCTGCTATTATACTACCCAAACCTAAATAGAAGTTGTACTAATAAATGCGTTTTCGTTTCATAAATGTAAAAATAATTTCAGGTACCAACGTGTAAGCAGAGGTGTCGTGCATTAACCCTTACATAGTTGATTCAAAATGCGCATGTTGAAATCAATACATGGAACCGCAAATGTCTTATGGCATTCCCAGTTTAAAAAATTCTCCGTACCCAATCCTACACACCAATCTTCGCTTCCTACTGGGTTTCATGCAACAAAAGAAAAGGCAAGTTGCACTGTTGCACCTAGTATAAAATTTAGTCTCTCTGTCTCCAAAAATGCGACTAAATCCTCATACTCTGGAGTCCCGCATATTACCCATGTTACCGTAGGGACTGGGGTGACGGAGACGTGTGCTAATATTTAATTTGGATTAATTCGTTCCTTCCAATAAATATATGTTTGTATTTAAATCATGAATTTGTGCCCCCCCCACCACTTTCAAACCTGCTCGTACGCTGTTGCACATTATGGTGGGGTGCTGGCGTTCAGCCTTCATGCCTGTGGCTGTGACATGGCAAAAAGTCCCTTTCAGGCCCCAGGGTTGGTCCCTTAACTGCTACTCCTGGCTGCTGCTCTGCCCTGCTGTGTTTGTGTTATACTAAAGGGTCCCCGGTCCCTGTGGAGCTGAGAAGGGCAGCTGTGATGAGCCGAGCAGTCATTCCTGCAGGGGTAGGCCAGATCTCTCAGCAAGGGACACCCCCTGTTTCCCCCCTTAGAAGTCCCCCAAAAACCAAGTTAGTGAAATTTGTGCCGTTGTGTGGAAATTTTTTTAAAAACCAGATAAATGAAATGTATATTGCACAGTTCTTGCTACTTGTCCATCCTAGCAGACTTCTGTCCCGATCACCACGATTGTCTGAGCAAACTCTGCTGGATCGGTCTGTGATTGTCAAAGTGCACCAGCCTTCACCAGTGGCCTGTTGGTTTGAGCGTCAATATCTGTTACCCAATATGTTCCAGGTTTTAATAGCAAGATGGTACAAATGCCTTTTGCTTTAGGTGTGTGAGTTTACTGTTGGACTGTTTGGACTTGGTTCTCTGACCTC